CAGCAGCAGCTGCTGCTGCTGCAGCAGCAGTTGCAGCAGCAGTTGCAGCATATTGCTGTTTCTCGTCGACCTCTGTCTGCTGCAGCAGCAGCCTGGCTGGTCTTTGCTGCAGCAGCAGCAGCAGCTGCTGCTGCTGTTGCTGCCCGTTTCTTGCTGCAGCAGCAGTCTCAGGTTTGCTGCAGCAGCAGGTGTTGCTGCAGCAGCACCTGCTGCAGCAGCAGCATCTGCTGCAGCAGCAGCACCTGCTGCTGCCCCTTGTTTATCCCCAGCTTAACTAGCTCTGGAGGGGCCCCCACAGTAGCCAGCTGCAGCAGTGTTCAGGTCACTGGTTGTGCTGCTGCAGCTGCTGCTGCTGCTGCTGCAGCTGCTGCTGGTGTCTGCTGCTGCAGCATGAGCAACCTCTGCATGCAGCAGCTTTAAATAAAAAGCAGCAGCAGCAACGAAAGCAGCAATAACACACGCAACAGCAGCAGCAACAACATCCTCATCGTGACAGCAGCAGCAGCAGCAACAGTAGCAGCAGCAGCAGCAGCTGCTGCTGCTGCTGCTGCTGCTGCTGCATGCATAGTGCATGGGGGGCAGCGTCCACCCCCAGGGGAGGGGGCGGGGGGTTCAGTATAAGATGCAGCAGCAGCAGTTGTTTTGTCTTTTTTATAATAAAAATTAAATAAATAAATAAAAATAAATTAATATAATAGCAGCAAAAGATATCATTGTAGTGGCATTGGTGGCTGCTGCTGCACCTCGAGCTGCTGCTGGCCTCTGCTGCTGCTGCTGCTGCTGCTGCTGCTGGTGCTGCTGCTGCTGCTGCTGCTGCTGCTGCTGGTTCCATGCGTGCAGTCGGGGCTGAGGGGTTGGAAGCCTACGCTCATGCATCGAAGCAGCTGCAGCAGCAGCAGCAGCAGCAGCAGCAGCCGCAGCAGCAGCAGCAAGTTATAGCGTTTATAGGATGTGCACCGACAGCAACCGCAGCAGCAGCAGCAGCAGCAGCAGCAGCAAGACCTGCTGCAGCACGCCCAACGGCGCAGCAAAAAGGTAGGCTAGGGGGCCCCCCATCCTCACTTTATATATTGCTGCACGATATTTATATATTACATTCTTTCTTTGTTTGTGAAGTGCAGCAGCAGCAGCAGCAGCAGCAGCAGCAGCTGCAGCAGCAGCAGCAGCAGCAGCAGCAGCAGCAGCAGCAAGACCACCACTCTTTTCACACTGCATGCCCCCCGTTATAAAGTTCGTTAGAGCTTCGCACCTCATAAGAGAGTGTCTTTGTTGACTCTGTTTTCTTCTGCTGCTGCTGCTGCTGCTGCTGCTGCTGCTGCCAGCAACGGCAGCATTAGCAGCAGCAGCAGCAGCAGCAACACAGCAGCAACAGCAGCAGCCATGGCACCCAGGGGCCCCCGTTGAGATATATTTCTGCTTCAGGTCGTTTTCTCTGTCTATCGGCTCCTGCAGCAGCAAGCTGTGACGCGGCCACAGCAGCAGCAGCAGCAGCAGCAGCAACAGCAGCAGCAGCAGCAGCAGCAGCAGGACACGATGGAGCAAGACGGCCCAGAGGAACCGGTTGCTTATAGTGACCCTGCTGCAGCAGCAGCAGCAACAGCAGCAGCAGATGTACACGGAGATAATGGCTCTGCAGAAGCGCAGCAGCAGCAAGAGCAGCAGCAGGTGCAGCAGCAGCAGCAGCAGGAGATGCAGCAGGAGTTGCAGCAGGAGCAAGAACTGCAGCAGCAGGGGGAAGACAGAGGCAGCAGAAACAGCAGCAGAAGGCCATCAGCAGACTGCAGCGCAGCAGATGAGGACGAGGTAATATACTCGGACCACGAAGACATGCAGCAGCAGCAGCAGCAGCAGCAGCAGCAGCAGCAGCAAGAGCAGCAGCAGCAGCAAGAGCTGCAGCAGCAAGAGTTGGGGGCGCAGCATGGATACACTGAGGGGGGAAGGAAGGAAGCAAATGCTGCGGGAGATACACTGCAGCAGCAGCAGCAGCAGCACGAGCAGCAGCAGCAGCAGATGCTCGAGACAAGCAGCAGCAGCAGCACCAGCAGCAGCAGCAGCATGGAGCAGCAGCAAAGCCAGGGGACTCCTGCTGCTTCGAGCCTATCTGCTGCTGATATAAACGGGACAGCAGCAGAAGACAGTGCAGCAGCAGCAGCAGCAGCAGGAGCAGCAGCTGCAGCAGCAGGAGAAGCGGGGGATGAGAGCACAGCAGCAGCAGCAGCAGCAGCAGCAGAAGCAGCCGAAGCAGGAGCAGCAGCAGCAGCAGCAGCAGCAACAATACTGCGTTTTGCTGCTGCATGCGAAGAGAGTGATGAGGAGGGGGCGATCTCCGAAGACGAGGAAGGCTCTGCTGCTGCTGCACCTTCTATCGAGGCAGCAGCAGCAGCAGCAGCAACAGCAGCAGCAGCAGCAGCAGCAGCAGGTCACTGCAGCAGCAAGACAGTAGAAATACAAAATGTTCCTCTATCATATGATGCAGCAGCAGCAGAAGCAGCAGTCAAAGACAGCAGCAGGGGCCTGCTGCTGCGGCTGCAGCAGACCCCCTCTCTGTCTGGGGGTGGCTTGCTGCTGTCTTTGACTTTCAGCAGCAGCATAGCAGCAGCAGCAGCAGCAGCAGCAATCAATGGACGCAAAGCAGCAGGCAGGGTACTTCGTGCTGCTGTCGTGGGGGCCCCCAGGTCCCCTGCTGCTTGGGGGGGCCCCCAGAGGGGCCCCTCGCTGCTAGCTGCTGCTATGAATGCACCAGCAGCAGCAGCAGGATTCCGTGTGTCTAGTCAGCAGCAGCTGCAGCAGCAGCAGCTGCAGCAACAGCAACTGCAGCAGCAACAGCTACAGCAGCAGCAGCAGCTGCAGCAGCTGCAGCAGCAACCACCACCACCACCCCCTGCTGCTCCTGGGGGCCCCGGAGGGGTCAAGGCTGTGCTGCGGCCCCGCGCAGTTATACTGCGGCGAGAAGCAGCAGCAGCAGCAAACCCAGCAGCAGCAGCAGCAGCAGCAGCAGCAGCAACTGCTGCAGCAGGGTCACCTGTGGGGGCTGGGGGCCGGGTATGTCTTACCCCTCGCCCTGGGGATCCATCGTGGGGTGGATCCCAGTCGAACCCCACAGCAGCAGCAGCAGCAGCAGCAGCAACAGCAGCAGCAGCAGCAGCAGCAGGAGCAGCAGGAGGAACGGGCGAAGCAGGAAATGCTTCTACCCCTTCTCCCTCTACTAGTACTACCACCCCCACCACCGCTGCTGCTGCTGCTGCTGCTGCTGCTGCTGCTGCTGCTGCTGCTGCTGAGGGGCCCTGGGGGCTAGAGAAGGTGAGCCAGTGGAGCGAGGAGATGTCTATAGAAGAACAAATGAAGGACTTTAAACAACTACACGCGAGATTCAGACACACCATCAGGTATGCTGCTGCTGCTCCTGCTGCTGCTGCTGCTGCTGTTGCTGCTGCTGCTGTTGCTGTTGCCGTTGCTGTTGGTGCTGGTGGTGGTGGTGGTAGTGGTGGTGGTGGTGGTGCTGCTGCTGCTCGTGGTGTTGCTGCTCTTGCTTTTGTTGCTGCTAGGGCTTATGCTGGTGCGGGGGCTAGTCCTGCTGCTGCTGCTGCTGCTGCTGCTGCTGCTGCTAGTGCTGCTGCTGCTGCTGCTAGTGCTGCTCCCGTTTGTATTTCCAGTGGCGCAGCTAGCTGCTGCATTGCTGCAGCAGCAGCAGCAGCAACAACCGCAGCAGCAGCAGCAACATGAGCTGGATATGTTCTGCATAGTTTCTGCCGCTGTACCATTGCATCTGTGCATCTACATCTGCTGCTGCTGCTGCTGCTGCTGCTGCTGCTGCTGCTGCTGCTGCTGCTGCTGCTGCTGCTGCTGCTGCTGGGGTATTTGCTGCTGACGAATCTGCCCGAGCACCTGCAGCAGCAAGAAACTCTGCTGGCGTGGCACAGAGAAGTGGTGGGGCAGCAGGTGGAGGTTCTTATAGAAATCATCACACCAGAGAAGGAGAAGCAGCGGCAGCAGCAGCTGCTGCAGCAGCGGCAGCAGCAGCAGAAACAGGAGGAGGACGAGCAGCAGCAGCAGCAGCAGCAGGAACAGCAGGAACAGCAGCACAGTGATGACGCAGAAGACAAGGTAAAGTCAGAACCTTCTCCTGCTGCTGCTGCTGCTGCTGATGGTGATGCTGCAGCAGATGGGACGGAGGCTTCAGCTGCTGCTGAGCAGCAGCAGGATGCAGCAGCAGCAGCACCAGCAGATGCAGCAGCAGCAGATGCAGCAGCAGATGCAGCAGCAACAGATGCAGCAGCGGCACAGGGCAGCGAGGCTAGTGAAACTGCTGCAGCAGCAGCAGAAACAACTGCAGCAGAAGCAGCAGCAGCAACTGCAGCAGATTCAGCAGCAGCTGACAAGACACCCGAAGCTGCCGATCCAGAGGCAGGCAAAGAAGACAGCAGCAGCAGCAGCAGCAGCAGCACTGCTGCAGCAGAACCAGGCGATGAAGGAGAATCAGCAGCAGCAGCAGCAGCAGCAGGAGATGCCCCCCCACCGCCCCCCCCACCATCATCAGAAGCAGATGCAGCAGCAGCAGCAGCAGCAGCAGCAGCAGCAGCAGGGAGCGAGGTGGTTGCGCATCTAACATATAAAACAAAACATGCATGCGTGGGGGCCCTAAGAAAGCTGCAGCAGAATACAGATGGTGTTGTTGCTTCTCCCGCGGGGCCCCGAAAGGCTAACCCTGTCCTCTGGCTAGGCAACTGTAGAGGTTTGTCTTTGTCTTTGTTTTTTTTTTTTTTTTTTTTTTTTTTTTTTTTTTTTTTTTTTTTTTTTTTTT